TGTTATCTTGAACGTTTTTTTTTTTAATTTTTAAATTACTTACCTCCGTTCTATACGAAATCCCGAAACGTTCTAACGCTTGAAATAAGATTCCGATGATATTTGTAAATCCATAAAGATTAGATGAAAACTGCTAGACACACATAGTTAATTCCGCTATAAATTTCTTATAATTTATTGACTGTTAACGATAAAGGCAGTTAAGCTTCCTTATTGTTATAGTCGCTGATAGCTTTAAAATTTTTAATCCTTAAGACGAATGTGGATTTGACGACCGATAAGTTTGTTTTGATGATTTGTATAGCGGGCATTTGTTTATTACTGGTGGTACTCTTACTCTTGTTAGTCCGCACGGGTAGGTACCACCTAGGTAGGTGGTATGCGGTGCGGTGGTGGTGGTAATGCGTTTCGGTTTGAAGGGCGGGGTAGCCGTTGTAACTATACTGAGATCTTAAAACTTATATCTCAAGGTGGGTGGCGCATTTACGTTGTAGATGTCTATGGGTTCCAGTAACCACTTAACACCAGGTGGGCTGTGAGCTCGTCTACCCATTTAAGCAAAAAAAATAAGCGTATTTTCTTTCAGAAGTGACTCGTAGAAAAACATTGACTGTTACACTCAAACATACTAATACCTCATTATTAACCTACTATTTATACAGTAAGTATATTAAAAACTAAGCTGGCAACAAAACAAACCCGTCGGCGGAGCGGGTCAGCTTCCGAGAGGGTCGTTCGACCGTGGACGCGATACTTCGCGTGCGGGTTTCCTCAACGAGGCTGTCTCATGGGGAGGGGTGGCCCTGCTAGTGTCTCTTGACATCGCCAATGCATTTAACACCCTACCCTGGTCCGTGATAGGCACTGAAGAGGCATGGAGTGCCCCTCTACCTCCGCCAGCTGGCTAGCTCCTATTTAGAGGCCAGGTCGGTCGAATGTACTGGGTACGGTGGAATCCTTCACCGTTTTCTGCTTGTGCGTGGTGTTCCGCAGGAGTTGGTTCTCGGCCCCCTCTTGTGGAATATCGGGTACGACTGGGTGCTGAGAGGCGCTCTTCTCCCGGGCCTCCGCGATATTTGTTACGCGGACGACATGTTGGTCGTTGCCCGGGAGGATGATTATAGAGAGCCTGTTCGTCTCGACATAGCGGGAGTGGGCCTCGTCGTCGGGAGGATAAAGAGACTGGGCCTCGACATGGTGCTCAGTAAATTCGAGACCTTATGGTTTCACGGACTGCGGAGAGCGCCACCTGTCAACGTCTATATCGTGGTTGGAGGCGTCCGGATAGAGGTCAGGTGCAGTTGAGGTACCACGGCCTTGTGTTCGACAGCCGGTGGGTTTTTCGTGCTCACTTTGCGGAGCTAGTCCCCCGATTGATGGAGGACGGCCGGTTCTTTGAGCCGGCTGCTCCTGAATATTGGGGAGCCGAATCAGGTTGTGCGCCGCCTCTACGCGGGGGTGGTGCGATCGATGGCCCTACACGGTGCGCCTGTATGAGCTAAGCCGCGCAACCGGGCCGCAATAGCTCAATTCCTGCACCGGCCGCAGCGCACCCTTGCTATCAGAGTCATTCGTGGATATCGCAGCGTCTCCTTCGAGGCGGAATGTGTGTTGGCTGGGACGCCGCTATGGGAGCTGGAGGCGTAGTCGCTCGCTGCTGATTAACGGTGGCGCAACTAGCTTCGTGCTTTGAGCGTGGCGCATCTCCCCTAAAGTGAGCTGCGGGCGCGGAAGGCCCATTCTCGACGGTCCGTGCCTGAGTCGTGGTCAAGGCGGTTGGCTAACCCCACATGGAGTCTACGCACCGTCGAGGCAGCTTACTCTGTGTCTGATGACTCGATGAATCGTGGAGGACGCCTCACCTTTTGTCTGGTGCAGGTTGCTGACATTAAATAAAACGAGTTATTAAAAAGTATATATGTAATAATACTAAAATTGAAAGATTTGTTTGTTTGTTTGTATCGAATAGGCTCCGAAACTCCTGAAACGATTTGAAATATTCTTTCACTGTTTGGAAGCTATACTATTCCCGAATGACATAGGCTACAATCTTTTTTGAAAAAAATTAGGGATCCTTAATAAAACTCCAATAATGTAACCCAAGGTGTAAAAACTAACCTAAAATATTATTTACATCGCGTGCCCTGTGAAAACTATTGATGTCTGATGATAGAATAAAATAATGTAGTACGACTTTGTAGAACAAATTAATTTACAAAAAATAGCGCGACAGCATACGTCTAACTATTATGTTATGCCGCAATAAGTGTTATTTTATTTTAAAAAAAAACAACGTCAAATATCGTTGAAATTTTTGTTAAAGACCCGAGCGAAGCCAGAGCGAGCCGCTTGTAAAATATAAACATATCGTTCTCAAGCTGTAACAGGAATAACAAATATTTCGAAGGACATCTCGTTTAAAGTAAACGTACAAAATGCTAATTTAAATATGATTAGGCAAATAATATAGATATATCTTATGAAACGATCGTTGGATCCGAATATAGCAGAGATAGATTTGTTTTGTTTGATTTTGTAGAAATGGCAAACCGCAAAAGGCGATCACGAACTCACACTTTTGGATAAATAACAGAATTGTCTGTTTTAAGTTTGATTTTTCAAGCTCTCTGAAATACGACTTTTCAAACTGATTTAGAAATGACGTGTCAGCTATTATAATTTCTAATGGCATGGGTGATTATTACTAGCTCACACCGGAAGTCAAAATTGACAATACGATAACTCGAAATCATACATAAAATGTTATTTATAATCTGTGTATTCTATGTATATATTTAAATAAATCAACCGTTGGTACTCTATGAGAATGTGAAACTCCTATGAAAAAATATAACTAACCAGTCTGGCCATAAATACTGTGACATAAATACTTTTCTTTTTTTTCTTAACTTTTCTTTTTTCTCTTGGAAACAGTGCGTAAATCCATAGATTCGTGGCCAAAAAGATTAAAGGCCTGTATAAAAGCCTTAAGGTCGCCATTTCGAATAGAATTTTTTTTATTTTTTGCTGAGACTTTAATAAATATGTAGGTATGAGCTTATAAAGCTCATACTGAGCTCATACATATTGAGCTAATAATATTAAATTACTTCATTTCAAAAATGCATTTTCATCTGTAACAGAACTTATGGCTGAACTAGGTATTGTCATAAAATAAAATAAAAACGTGTTAATGTTATTATACTCTGAGCTATTCCCAAAACTGTATATAGAAAACAATGCACTGTATGAATGTAAGGTACTACCATAATATTTTTCGTGATTGAACTGTACAAAAACCAAAAGAATACTATTTAATTTATTATACTATAATAAATTTACGATAAGTGATTAAAGCTTAAGCTGCCTTGATCCAAATATCAGAGAAATGTGATTGTCATTATATGTTAATCATCATCATTTCTGTTATGTAATCCAGCCTAGACTATCATGACCCCAACTCTTCCCGTGTGGGTTTTTGATGAGCACCATCGCTCCCTGAATATTATTTCCCGGTGTACTGCAATTGCAAACTGATATTTACGCACGAGTAGAGCCTATTGTAAGCCCACATAGGTAAGTACCACTATCCTGCCTATTTCTGTGCCGAAGCTTTTTTTGTTGCTCATATATGTGAACGATCTAACGGCCCAACTGATTTTACATGGTTATCGGATCTCATAGAAATCAACAAAGTAAACGCCGCCAATCATCCTGAGACATGAATTCTAAGTCTCAGTTTTACAGTACCAACGGCTGTCCCACCCTTTAATCCGAAAACCATTACTGCTTCACGGCAGAAATTGACAAAATGATGGTATCTACCCGTGCGTGTTCATAAGGCCATTAATTACGCAAATAGTAATTTTTCGGGTTTGATTTTTATTACACGATGCTATTCCTTCACCGTGGAAGTCAGTCGTAAATATTTATTAAGTATATATTTCATTAGAAAAATCGGCAACAAGCACAGTCGCATCGCTCAATACGAATGCACCGGGCGTCTTATCTTTTAGACCACGACAACTTCAAATCATACGTTACGGTGGAAAAAGTGGGACAGCCGTTATATAATACAGTCGAGATGACGACGTGATATTTCCAAAGGGATAGCGGCTTTCGACTTCTATTTTATTCTACGCTCCGGTAACCACATAACACAACACAATTCAGGCCTTTCACTGTTTTAAAAAAATGTGTGCGTGTACTAGTGTACACACGTAAGAAGTGAAACTTATTTATGGCCTTATTTTTCGAAAAATGATCTACATGCAACTTTCTAGAAATTGGTTAAATAAAGTTAAATTAGATAAAGTTTAAACAAAAGGATTTTATTATCATAGACATGAATACAAAAAAGTTAAATTAGATAAAGTTTAAACAAAAGGATTTTATTATCATAGACATGAATACAAAACAGATGGCGCGTAACGGAAAAATGTGACGCGTAACCGAAAAATGTGACGGTAAATTTTTTTCCAACGCCGATAAGGAAGTTTCACTTCAATAAGCATTTAATTTTGTGCACATATACATTTATATATTTACTATATAGAAATATCGAATGATGCCAAATAAACCCCACTAGATGATGACCGAGCTTTGCTCGATTTTTTGGTTTATTACGCCATCTTGTGTTTTAAAGCGGTTAGTTGCCCTCAATTAAGAAAAATAGTATTATTATTCGCCAGTAGATGTCGGGAAGAGTTGATTATTGAAAACACGAAAACAACATTTTCTGATAATAAATCGTAGCTAGATCGATTTATCGCCCCCGAAATCCCCTGTATACTCAATTTTATGAAAATCGTTGGAGCCGTTTCCGAGATTCAGATTATATAGTTATATATTAATATACAAGAATTGCTCGTTTAAAGGTATAAGATAGTGCATACGTGCAACGTATTAAACATGCTTCGAAATCAGAGGACTCGGACTTCAAAGTAGGTAAGTTAAAATGAAAAAAGTAAAAATAAACGTTACATATGACAGTTAACCTATTATTTTATTAAATAAATTAAAAGCGATACATATAAGTAAGAAAAATGCTGAAACAAAAAACAATAAATTCTAATTTAAATAGCTTACAGATTAGGTCTAACTAAAACTAAGACGGGAGAAAGTTTTGAATCCCATGTTCCGTCATTCTTTGATTGGGGTGAATGGTCACCACTCTTTTCCGTTTCGGAAATTTTCACAAAGAGATCGTTGAACTTCTTCTCGACGCTGTCGTCAGAGATGGACTTGTCTACGTCATCAATAGTCGTGCCGGTGGGAAGAACCTGCTTGCCTGTGGTGTACGGCGTCTCCTTGGCGTATTGAAGGTCCATGTAGTCGTTGAGGATACCTTCCAAGACCTTTTTGGGGGTTGCATTGACGGTATTGTCATTGATGGCGTCAGACAATTCCCTTACCGTTACTGTTGGGACAGACATGATTCTGTTTGTGATCTGAAAGACGAAAATAAATTTAAACAAATTGATCGGGAAAAATAAAATGCCTTTTACGGTTTAATCTAGCGTTTTTTTAATGTCATTACCTTAATTTTTATGTTTTGATGTGCTTTACAGTATTCGCAGTCCCAGAGGATTAAGGTGTTATTATTCTTGGACAACTCTGTATTGTGGTAACTATTGTCTATGTTTGTATAAATAATATATTTCTAGCTTTTTACGTTTCAAATAAAACGTTTTTACAAGCTGGCCACCGGCACTCCCATTAATGCAATTAACTTTAGAAAACAACCTTAAATAAGTGCTAGAGATTCCCTTCATCGTACAGTGAGGGTATTCCACTTATTTATTTATTTATTTATTCAACTTCATGCACAAAGGTACAATGGCGGACTTAATGCCTGAGGCATTCTCTACCGGTCAACCAAGGGTGGTCTCTACACCACCTGTGGTAGGTCCATTACTTATAGCGAAAAAAAAAAACAAAACAAAACGTTTTACTACGTAAGCTTTGTCTGCCTACCTTATCTTTTTTATGAGTGAAACACGATCGTATTGGATATTCGGCTAGTGATCGCTTTGTGAAATTGTCACATAAATATTTATTATTTTATGTTTATGTAAATTTGAAGTCGTCGTGGCCTAAAGGACGTCCAGTGCATTCGTGTTGAGCGATGCACCGGTGTTCGAATCCCGCTGGCGGGTACCAATTTTTCTAATAAAATACGTACTTAACAAATGTTCACGATTGACTTCCCCAGTGAAGGAATAACATCGTGTAATAAAAATCAAACCCGCAAAATTATAATTTGCGTAATTACTGGTGGTAGGACCTTTTGTGAGTCCGCACGGGTAGATACGTAACTATTCTGAGACCTTATAACTCATAACTCATGGTGGGTGGCGGCATTTACATTGTAGATGTCTACGGGCTCCAGTAACACTTAAAACCAGGTGGGCTTCGAGCTAGTCCATCTATCTAAGCCAAAACAAAAGCATGAATAACGGCATGTCATCAACGACAATCATGAACTCGATTATGAAAATATATGCTTCGGCTAAGAAGCTATAATGCGCTGTGGGTTCAGACACTTTACTATGCAATTGATATTTAGACCTCATACCTCAAAGCGGGTGGCGGCATTAACGCTGTGATGCCTATGGGCTCCACCAACCAATTAAGAGAGGGTAAGCTGTAAACTCGTTTTCACCATGCAATAAACAATATTGTATGCTAAGCTGAACGAGGTAAGTAAATTAATAAATTACTATATTTTAATCATTACTTTATCATCTAATAGTATTCCCTGAGCCACAAAATTTCATTATTGAAAATTTAACTATAATCAAAGGAAGATAAAATAACTATCGTTAGAACATCACGCGAACAACTTTCAACGTAAATTGTGTGTTTATCGATTAATAAAAAAAATAAAAAAAAAACGTATCCGAGTAGCTATAGATAAAATTTTATACCACAACAATAATTGTATAAGAAATAATAAATATTTAGATAACATATCTACAGCTTTACGCATACCATAAATCTATTAATCAATTTATTATTTACATGGTACGTTTGTTTCGTAATGAAGAAATAGTTAAAAACAAGTTATACTCACAGTTATGTCGGCGTAAAATTCAAACTTGATCCCGAGATCCGCTCTAGTGTACTGATGACACTCCCCACCTGCCCTTCCTATTTATAAATCACACAATCAAATCACATCGAGATAGCGCGCTTGGGCTCTATGTGTCAGAATGCCCTAAAAACGACAAACTATTATCAGAAATACACGATGCTTCACAAACATTTGCGGTAAAATTCGCACAATGCAAACAGCCTGATAAAATTTCACATAACATATTTATCAATATCTTATACAAAATTTTGTAGTGCGTAATGCATTTTGCAGGAAAAAAAATTGTCAACGTTTCAATGACTTGATAAGATTAATGTGATCAACAAGTCGTGTGAAATGACTCGCCAACGGAACCCGACCTATTGGGAATTCAGTAATTATTTACTTTCTGATAATTCGATGATCGATGCCTTCCTTAAGTAATCGGTTACAAAAATATATAATTAAAACTTAATCGTTAAATTTTACGAACTATTCTTACGTAATTATTAAATATAAAAATGGAAATATGTATATAAAACAATATACATTTCGTATTATCATAGTATTTATGGAGAACTATTGATAAGAACATTATGTATATGAGCAAAAACAAAATGGTTAATTATCGTTGTCTCTTAGCTGTATATGAAAGAGTTTTTATTAAGTTATTTAATAGCTATTGATGATTGTGATGCATAGAGAGAAGATGCACGTGACTAGGATGGAGTGTGTGAATGACGATATGAGAGAAAGAGAGGAGTGAGTCTTGAGATGAAAGTTAATAGAAGAGAATGAAATAGAAAAATTCGCTGTGCCGACCCCACCTAGTGGGATAAGGTGGAGACAAAGAAAATTTGGCAGCTGTTAATAAATGCTATCAATAAAAAAATGAAAACAATAAGCCCTTTTTTTCTCAAAATGTCACCAATTAAAAAGGACATTTGAAACAAAAAGTGATAGTAAATCGCGAGGTATCAGTTATCTAATGTAAGTAAGCGTCCTATGCTTCTAACGATCCCTACCAACCAAAACACATACATACATACATACGAGACAAAAATAAATACCAAATATCTCTAAAGGTACTGGCTCCAAACGAGGTATGTACATATGTCAAAAAAGACCAAACCAAACAAAACACTCTTTGAATGTCAACATTTTCATTATTGTAAATGTAAATACGAATGATTTATTTAAAAAAACAATTAATATCTAATACAATGGTTTTTGAAGCAGTAATGTTCATTCCTACTGGCTGAGCCTTTACTCGCCCACATGTCCTGGTGAAACTGGAAAGGACTTCGGGCCACCAGTAGTCATTTCTTCCTAAAAAAGTAATGTCCTACGCTTTCAGAGGTCATTTATGTGTCATAGGACGATAAGAATTTTAAACAATAACATGATAAAAATGATGCATCTCCCTCAGAACTATCGATGACAATCAAAAGTTCCCACAATCTTTTATCTTATCTGAAGATTATTGTGTAGGTGTTGCAATATGTAATTTTGGACCAAACCGGACTCGTTTAGCTTACCTTGAGAAACTAGATAATATTTTGTCACATGCTTGTATATCGCGTTAGCTCTTACTTTATCTGATACATATAATATATAACCATTATACATAATATAACTATTGTAATAGATACATACATAACCATTGTATGGACATGCTATATTGGGGCCTCTATTCTTTTGATTTGGGATTTGTGGAAGAAGACATGCATATATTTAAATGCGCAATAATGAGGCCTTTTTTATTTATTGCTTATATGGGTGGACGATCTCACAGCCCACCTGGTGTTAAGTGGTTACTGGAGCCCGTAGATATTTACAACGTAAATGCGCCACCCATCTTAAGATATAAGTTCTAAGATCTCAAGTATAGTTACAACGGCTGCCCCACCCTTCAAACCGAAACGCATTACTGCTTCACGGCAAAAATAGGCAGGATGGTGGTACCTACCCGCGCGGACTGACAAGAGGTCCTACCACCAGTAATTACGCAAATTATAATTTTGCGGGTTTGATTTTTATTACATGATGTTATTCCTTAACCGTGGAAGTCAATCGTGAACATTTGTTGAGCACGTATTTCATTAGAAAAATTGGTACCCGCCTGGGATTCGAACACCGGTGCATCGCTCAACACGAATGCACCGGACGGACGTCTTATCCTTTAGGCCACGACGACGACCTCTTAGCATAATTTTCTTGTTAAGATTAAACTTGATTATTATGGTCTTTCTCTTCATCCAAGTTGCCCAGACTTCTTAAGGCCGCTTGTGGCACAGTTATAAAAACTGACTTGACTGAGAGAAGTGGGTAATTTAGCTACCTTAAGACTAAATCGTACCTTACGCCAAGAAGACATATTAAATGTTCTACAATCTTCGTAGCACATCACATCATTCGTCTCCAGGAGTTGTTTTTACTTGAAACCCCTGCACATTCGTAATCCTTAACCAACCTTAACGAAATCCTTACCTTCCTTTGTATCAAACCATTTTTTTAATCCACAGGACAAAATCGCTGGATCCCCACCCGTACGGCAGATGGGGTATGTGGGAGTCGAACCTCACTAAAAACTCCTACCGCTCACAGCCGGCGCCCTACCCCGGACCGGGCGGAAACTCAATCGGAGCTATTGAGACGGCGAGACAGGGTTTACGCAGAGCATATTACATCCATCCCGCCGCCGAGGAGAGCTTTGCCTCACTCGCCCCGCCGCCTCCATCTGCGAGATGGTGCACTCGCAGAAGTCGAGCATAGCCTTCCATGATTGTATCAAACCATAGGATTATTTTTTTCAAATCTAGATGCTCTTGTTATAAGTAGGGAAAAATGGATCGATGTAAAAATAAAAATGTAATTAACTCAAATTATGTAACAACACGCCTTATGTGAAGTAATTTTAATTTCTATGAATGTGAACTTATCAGTATCAATCATGAATGTCATTTAAAATCGTACATAGTGTATCTACTAATTAAATAATCGATCCACTAATATTATAAACTAGCTTTTGCCCGCGACTTCGTCCGCGTATAATAGTTACTTTGGCATAACGCTAAACTTTACCCGCCTCTTTATTTACGTAGAAAGTGAAAATATTGTTGAGAAATAGAATGTTAAGCAGCTATTTAATACCAAAACCACGCTTTTTAATTGATTCCAAAAGAGGAAGTTATCAATTCGACCATAATTTTTTATCTAGGCAGCGGCCTATCTATCGGTAGGCAGCGGTTTGGCTCTGCCCCTGGCATTGCTGAAGTCCATGGGCGACGGTAACCACTCACCAACAGGTGGGCCGTATGCCTGTCTGCCAACAAAGGCAATAAAAAAAAATAAAAAAAATCTATGTACGTTCACCGATTTCTCGCGAATACTTGAATCGATTCTGATAATTCTTTTTTATTTTTTTTTGTTCGAAAGGGTAGACTTTAGGAACGCCTCAGAGCGAGGTAGCGCCGCATGAGTCATGTTTTTTCATGCGTGCAGCCGGCTCCATGGAATTATAAGATTTTGTCACGTCAAAATGTACATGTAGGTGACCAAAGGGCTCGCACCTTGTGTCATAAGAAATGTCCGTGGTTGTATCGAAGGTGAAGGTTGTAAAAGTTGTTGTACCCTTTAAACAGACACTCGTGAATGGTTTACGGCACCAAAAGACAGTACAATGCAGGGCTAGGTCACAACTAGAAATAAAACAAAACGTCATAGTCTAAAGCAGGGGTGAACAACCTTTTTAATCAATGGGCCAGTTTAATTTTGAAGTGAAACTTCCTTATCGGCGTTGGAAAAAAATTTACCGTCACATTTTTCGGTTACGCGTCACATTTTTCCGTTACGCGCCATCTGTTTTGTATTCATGTCTATGATAATAAAATCCTTTTGTTTAAACTTTATCTAATTTAACTTTATTTAACCAATTTCTAGAAAGTTGCATGTAGATCATTTTTCGAAAAATAAGGCCATAAATAAGTTTCACTTCTTACGTGTGTACACTAGTACACGCACACATTTTTTTTTTTAGCGTGTCGCAAATAGATTAACACTTATTAATAATTTCTTTTTTTCTTTATTACAAGTAAACAAGAAAAGGACAGAAAAACGAATTGATAGGAGAAAGGCGATAAAATAAATTCAATTTTAGAAATGCTTGGCGGGCAGCAAGTGGCCCGCGGGCCGCGTGTAGCTCATCCTTGGTCTAAAGGATAAGACGCCCGGTGTACTCGTATCAAGCTATGCGACTGTCCCGGTATGCAAATCCATACTCAAAAACCACATACATAGTGTTACGCCGGTAAGAGTAGCGCCATCTATCGCCGAATAGTCAAACGAATTTAGTAGCATGTAGAACGCTCGAGAAGTACAACGCCATTTATTGTCAGAAGCGGAATCACACAATACTAGACTTTTATGAAATATTCTCGACGATTCTAGGAATTTCGTCTCGACTATAAAAAAGTTGCAGAGATGGTACGCAGTCAGTTAGTAATCGGAACTACTTGAAACGAAACAGCGAGCGGATCACCTGAAGCGAAGCGGAAGAAGCGAATTGAGAATTTTCAAGTGTTTGTTAAGTGTTCTAAGTGCTAAGTATTAGCACAGTTAGTTAACCGTGTTAACTTGTAATTCGGTAGAATATTTATTTATCGCGAACCCCAGCGCGTAACTATGTACCAAATTTTAAAGGAAATACCTACTTAGGCAAAGTTCACGAATGCCTTGCTCAATGAAAGAATTATTTCGAGCGTCCCTAATGTACAATTTATTTAATTCTATGAAATATTAAAAACTTGCACGCGTGTGGACCACCGTTTTGCCACTTTTGGCAGTGAAGCAGTCATGCGTTCCGGCTTGAGATGAAATATTCGGACGAGCTAAAGGCCTATACGGTGTTGAGTGCTTACCGGAGCCCCCATTGACCACGTGTATACCAGCATCTACCTTGCGACATGAAGTGGATCTCTCAACAGCGTTATTATAATACGGTTGTTTTATATTTTGCAGTGGAATTAAGTAGTTTTGTGGTAACGTTTCGTACAGGAAACAATGCAACAAACCTCTACAATTAATTTTACTAGTGGTCCCGCAGTAGTCGAAATTCGACTATAATTAATTG